CTGAAAACATGTGGAAGTGGGACATGAAATATGATATTCGATCAGACGATGAGTTAAGTTGACAGAGAAATTGCAGTGAATTGTTTCACTATGCATCATCCCATCGTGTAAATGTCAACCTGTTACTCTCAATTTCCAAAATATTTTTTGATGCGTAATTTTCTTTGGATAACCCGCCACAATTTGTTAAGAAATGAGCCCCTAAATCTTTTATTATTCAAAATTTCCTCAACATCGAAAGAGTCACTCCCTAACCCGCCCTCGCCGCAGCCGCCCAACCCACCCTCCCGACTGCCGCTTACCCAGCACTTCCCGCTCGTGAACAGTTGTCAAGCGAGGAGGATAACCTGAATCACTTCCCACAGACTGCATGGGTACACGCTCTCCACTGCTGCTTTTTCCTCGCCTGTCTCTGTCACTGTTACGTGCTTTTCCTTCCCTCTCCCTCGCTAAGCAGATACTTCACTGGAGTCGGTGCTTTTTACACGATCTGTCTCCCCCCCCCCCCCCCACTCCCATTTTCTTCTCGTGTTGTTCTATTTTTGTTTTCTTCCTGAATGGCGAAAATACAATACCTTGTTGACACAATGGATGAAAACCCACAGCATAACCGCACCGGTTCATTAGACGACACAAGGGCTTCGGAAAGCTTTAGGAAAATGGAATCATGTTTCACATACATTTGCTCGTCTTGTAACTAAGGTTCATTGGTTATCATGAGATATATTACGTAATTACAGACGTATGTTTTCATTATTAATCATACTAATCAATTCATGTCTGTTGGATTAATCTCCGCCCAATGTCTATTATCTTTTCCTACTCTATCAACACGCACGTCAAACATTCATCTGAAAATTTTCAGACATACAAGGGGGTTCTCTGTTGAAACTTTTCTTGGAAACGATATGAAAATATATAATACTGAAATATGGCAAACATGCTTCTATCATGGCTCGTGTTTCATGAAAGCTACATTTTTCCCGAACAACAGTTTGTTAGTGTCTGACAATCACTTGTAAACAAATAGAGCGTGCTAAGATGAGAGAGAGAGAGAGAGAGAGAGAGAGAGAGAGAGAGAGAGAGAGAGAGAGAGAGAGAGAGAGAGAGAGAGAGAGAGAGAGAGAAGAGAGAGAGAGAGAGGGAGGGAGAGAGGAAGAGAGGGAGAGAGAGGCAGAGGGAGAGGGAAAGAGAGAACGAGTATCTGCGTAGATCAGGTACATGTAACGGGATAATGCGAACGGTCTCTTGTGCTCGGAAAACGGTCCCCACTCCCCTTCCTTCGCCATTTCGTTTTGTGTTCGAGGGATACGTCTTTTGAACACGTGTGCGCTTCTTACGTCGCCATAATTGAGATAAGTTCGCTTATTGGCTTGTCTACACCTGCCATCCTCTGTGCCTCTTAACCTGGCTTTCCTCCCGTCTGTTTATTCACGTATCAGGCTTCACTAAGCTCTCTCTCTCTACTTACTTTTCTCTCTCCCGCTACTTATCTCTTTCTCCTTTTACTCTCTATCTTTTTCTCAACCCTCGATCTTTCTTCCTTCCTCCCCCCCTCCTTCCCTCTTTCTCTCCTCCCCAGCCTCTTTCTCTCTCTCTCTCATTCTCCTACTCTCTGTCTTTCTCTCTATCCCCCCTCACTCTCGCCCTCTGTTTCTCTCTCTCAGGCCTTCCTCTCTACACTCTTTCTCTCCCTCTCCTTACATTATCCATACTAACCGTAACTAAACATACTCCACATTGTGATACAGTATAAAAACCATTAACTTGCTCTCTTTTATGCACCCCCTTCGTTACAGTGTACTTCAGTTTGACCCGTTTATATGTCATGGTCCGTTCCCTTCCTTTGAACTTTCTCACACTCATTTGACCTTTTCATGCATATACTGTTTACCCTTTCTTATTATACATCTAATTTTACTACCCTGTTCAAAATTTAAGTCCCTCGATGTTATGATGTTCATACACAGGCCCATCCCAAGAACGGAGAACGTGCTGGGTATCCTGTGATGAGGTGCATCATAAACATCCTCTGGTGTTTTATCAGCTGACCGATAAGACGGTGGTTTGGGTGACATGTTTCTGTTCTTTGGTAGCGGGGTCAGTCACGTCGCGATAAATTCCAGAAAAGGAAGATGGAAGAAGCTATGGTCATGTGGGTGTTTAGTTTGCAGATTTGGGATGGCGACTTGAAGATACCGTATGAGGAAAATGATGATGAAGCTAATATACACGAAAGAGAATTAAATAAAGCTATGAACGGATATGAAGAAGAGTTGGGTCGTCAACATTCCTCCCTCCTCGTGGTCGTTGGTTTCGGTCTCGTCCTTGTGTACTGTCTATATATAATTTTCTCTCCACTTTCTCTCTCTCTCTCTCTCTCTCTCTCTCTCTCTCTCTCTCTCTCTCTCTCTCTCTCTCTCTCTCTCTCTCTCTCTCCATGCATCCATCGGTCTATTATCCCTATTCCTGCTCATTCTTACGTATATTTCTTTCCATCAGATATACACAGTATTCAGCTTATATCTACATTTTCTCTGTAATTTTTCGAAATACACGAATAGATTACGTGGTATAATATCTGCAAATACACATTCTTTATTTCTGATTCATGCAGTCTCAGTCTGAAGGAAAACAGTGAAGTAGAGAGACACAGCAAAGGATGGTGACATTTCACATGCATACAGTGCATCGTTCACACCATTGAACCAATAAAATGTGTGATCATAAGTTGTGGAACATCTGGGTGAATTATAATGGCAATGAATCGACCTCATTTTGTCGATTAAAAAGCTGAAAGTGTCATTAAAGTTGCTATTCCAGGGTGTAGTCACGGAATTTATAACTATATCGACGTAGAGAATCAAAATTAATTCGTTTATTAATATACTGATATATGCGTATAATTATGAGATATGATGAAGTGTCGTTTTACCTCCTTGAGCAAGATAGTAAGATGAAGAGTTGTGCTTTCTTCCTGCAACAGCTGCGTTAAGGGAAGAGTTCTGTAAAGTAAGTGCATTCTCCTGGAATAGCTTAAGCTCTCGCCAGGTTGCATATGATTATATCCTTGACCGTATACCTACTCGCGTAATATCCTTTTCTTTCCCATACCTCCTTCACCCATCCCACATTCTCTTTTTTTTTTTCTCTTACTCTGTCTTTCCCTACTTGAAATTTCTCAGTTTTGTTTGAAACTTCTCATTCTCTTCCTCGACCTCATATTCACCGCCTCCTAGACCCTCCCCACCCCCGCCTCCTCTCCCTCTGCATCTGATACCTTACATTAGCATAAAGTTCGCAAAGTGCTTCAGCATCCGGCGATAATGTACCCCACCACGCGCGACCTCCTCCGCTCCTTATCTATTTCTTTTCCTTATCCTTCGTAACGAAAGCTGAATAGGATTCATTCTTTTATTAACTCTGTGGATCAAGAAATGATTCCGTAAGAATATAAGAATATCAGGGAATTTCTCCTGAAATGAGGTCCTGGACACTGCCTGAGGAATGCTCCCTTCGTCGACGGGTCTGAAATACGAGCGCATTCGAGCCAAGTTTCTCAAATTAAGGCCCAACTTGCGGCACTCTCATTGTCCGTCATTTGAGCTGGCGAGGTTCACATGCTTCAGGTTTAACGTGTAGCTGGAAAGGCCTGTTCCGGAAAGTAAGAAAGAATTGTTCAACGTTGGTTAATTGAGACCGTATAGGCGCGATGAATAACACCCACAGAGGACATAAAACTCAAAGAGTTGTACCTAAATCGCATTCTATTATTTTTTTTCTTTTTATTAGGGTGAAGTTGGAGGGGGAGGGGGGGGGTCAGATGGTTTCCCCAAGATTTACCAAGCGTGACCGTGCACCAAAAATGTGATCTACCCAGCCGCTACCAAATGGATCAGAGATAGAAGGTAAAATCTCCACTTATTTTGAGAATCCACTCTCTCCCTTTCCGTTTTAGACCAGCATACGGTTAACTGCCTGGCTTTTATTCACTGTTGTAACAAAGAAAGCGACTGTTATTCCAATTTTCTGTGTTGGTGCACGTCTTAAAAGATTTTTCCTCTGGGGTTCCATAATTTGCTCCGTGCCAGACTTGTTTCTACGCTTGAAGAATGCGTTTTAGAGAACTTTCTTGATGTATAAACTGCTTGCAAGAAGATAAATTATACTTATAAAATACTTGGGAACTGTGGATAGGGAACTGTCACTGAGTATATCGGTAAATGGATAAAACCTTTTGATATTTTTCCTACTGTTTTTTTTTTTACTATCAGTATGTCCTTCATCTTCTCTTGTCACAAACAACTTCCTTGTCTCACAGGATCATTATCACATTTTTTCTTCTCTTATTTTTCCAAATAACATAGTCATCCCTTCCACCCTCATTTTCTTCGAATATCCTCCCATTCCCGTGGTGGTAATATTCCTGGATTACTGGCGGCCTAATTAATGGCTACGCAGAACTATTCCCGAAGATTATTATCTCCGTCTCAAGCCATGAATCCGATATCATGGAAGAGAAATTTATGAGAAAAACATCATTGATTAAACCGTAAGGTCCGGGTGAGTTACTTTAGTTCTTGCGTCTTCCTGGAAAACCTATTTGATAAGAACGATAAATGATGGATAAATGTATGCTACTGAAATGCTTGTACCAGCAATAAGTTTGTCTGTATATTTCGATCTTAAAAAAAGGCGGAGAGGAGAGAGAGAGAGAGAGAGAGAGAGAGAGAGAGAGAGAGACAGAGAAGAGAGAGAGAGAGAGAGAGGACAGAGAAAGGAGAAGAGAGAGAGAGAGGACAGAGAAAGGAGAAGAGAGAGAGAGAGAGAGGAGAGGAGAGGAGAGGAGAGAGAGGAGAGGAGAGGAGAGGAGAGGAGAGGAGAGGAGAGGAGAATGAGGAGAATAGAGCAGAGGAGAATAGAGCAGAGAGAGTATATATAGAGAGAGAGAGAGAAGAGAGAAAAGAGAGAGAGAAGAAAAGAGAAGAGAGAGGATAGAG